CTCTGTGCGTGACGGGGGTGGAGCCGCAACCTCCCCATCGACCCTGCCTTGAGTGTAACAGGGGTACCCTGAGCGTGACTGAGGGTGGCATCACAACCTCCCGATCCACCCTGCTCTGTGCATGACGGGGCGGCACCCCAACTCCCCAATCGGCCCTGCTCTGAGCCTGACCAGGGGCTGCACCTAGGGATTGGGCCTGCCCTCTGCCACCCGGGAGCAGGCCTAAGCCAGCAGGTCGTTATCTCCCGAGGGGTCCCAGACTGCGAGAGGGCACAGGCCGGGCTGGGGGACCCCCCCCCCCCCGAGTGCACAAATTTTTGTGCACCGGGCCTCTAGGGGGGATATATATATATATATATATGGATATATATATATATATATATATATATATTATTTTTTTTGAAGATTTCCATTTGGCTTTTTTATAGTTTCAATGTCTTTGCTGAGACTTTCTATTTTTGTCCCAAGTGTGTTCATATTTGCTCACTGAAGCATTTCTATGATGGCTGCTTTAAAGTCACTAATTCTCACATTACTGTCATGCCTTCCTCATTCTTGGTGTGAGGACTGCTTGTCACCTCTCCGGCTCCTGCCCTTCCTCCAAGGGACAGCAATGGCAGAGTGCCTGCCCCTGTACCTGAGACCCCTTGGCTTTGGCTGCCAGGAGGACACAGCCATCACCTTCACCCATGGTCCCAGGATGGCCTCCCATATCTATGCTGTCCTTGGGGAAAGGACCACCTGCCTGACCACAGGGTGCTGGACCCACTGTACAATGTTGCTTTTAAAGAGAGATTTTTGGCACACAGCTTTCAGGAGGTCAGGACTGGTTAAAATAAAAGAATAATGCCTGTCCTTACATTTCTATTAAAAAAATATTTTTATTATTGATTTCAGAGAGGAAGGGAGAGGGAGAGAGAGAAACATCAATTATGACCCACACTGGGGATCAAGTTCACAACCCAAGCATGTGCCTTGGACCTGGACTGGAACCATGACCTCCTGGTTCATAGGTTGATGCTCAACCACTGAGCCACACCAGCCGGGCTATTCTTACATTTCTTACTGCCTCCTACCACACAGGTGCTCTCAGATCCAGTACCTCTAGTAGTAGAGCTACTATAACAGGTTAGCACATCCTGTGGGGGATGAGAGGAAAATGTTTATATGGAAGCTGCCATATAAACTCTCACTGAAGCTCTCAGGGCAGCCAGGGTGTAGACTAGGCACTTCCATGTCCTAGTCCTGGGACTGTGGCCAGGACTTCCGGGCCCGTTTCCTCGTGTGTGAAATGACAGAATCAGTGTGTCTTAAAGGTGCTCAGCGAGTGTGCCCTGCTTGGTACCAGTCACCGTAGCTGGTCAGGCACGGAAATAGCAGCTTTACCAAACCAAACCACAAATAAACTTCCCATGCGATCTCCATTACACCTAATTTTCAGAAGGAGTTTCTGCAGCCAACCTTTACTTTCTAAGGGCTAGTTCGGTGTGGGTGGGCGAGTCATGCACTTTTCTGCCCTCTCCTTTCCAAATGACTTGATTTTGGATTAATAAGATATTGAACAGAAACTTTAAAAGAAGGGGGACCTCAATACAACCAGCAAATCATTTTTAATCTAAAAGGTTGTGATGGGGAATAAGATGAAAGCATCTGGTGAGATGAGGTGTCATGCTCCTTGTGGCTGTCATGCGTGGCCGCCACTGCTGCTGTGGCAGGTAGCAGAACTGCCAGGCGCCTCTGGCCTCCTCTTCCTGCCTATTTCCCCGCCACGTTCCTCCATGCGCGTGCTGGCCAGCCCTAGTCCCCAGTGGACATTTCATAGATTGGGCCCCGGCCTTGGCCGAGGATCCATCTCTCCCACAGTGTCGGTCCGCGCTCCACACCCATCCCAGGTGGCTGGGCGTGGAAAGGCAACCAGGTAGAGGGGCAGCACTGGGCTGCCTGGACTGGCCACCCTGCACCTCCAGCGTCTTGATCCAGTGTCATGCAGTCACACACAGCCCTTTGCAGATGTCACCCAGGCTTCCTGTGCTCTGCTCCCTGCTGCCTGGCACTGCCATTGGCTGCACGCGTACTGTGTGCCAGGTGACAGAGGAGGTCTTCATGTTAACTGCCTCACTCAGTCCTCACCACAGCTCTGTCAGGTTCACCCCATTTTACAGATGAAGCCAAAGCTGAAAGAATTTAGGACTTCGCTCCAAGTTACATACCTCATAACTGGACCAACTGGGGCTTTAATCCAGAGCTTCCTGCTCCCACAGCCCAGCCGACCTACCGTGCCTCCACCTACCCTGCCTTCACCTCCTCCTCCTCTACCTTCCCCTCCATGCCTCACTCACAGTTCCCATCCCTGGAGGGTGTGGGTGTCGCACTGAGGAAGCGGCTCTGACACGAGCAAACCAGGACCCTGGTGCTCTCCCTACGCCAGAGTGGCTGTCCGTGCGCGCCTGCTGTGGAGAACATGGGTCTGCCCAGCACACATTCTCCCAGGGAACCAGGGCAGTAATGGGGCCAGGGGACTGCTAGGATGTCACCCTTGGAGGAAGGTGCCAAGGACACTGGCTTCAGAGCTAGCTGCCAGGATGCGGAAAAGCTGGCCTGGTGGTCTGGATGCTCCTCCCAAGAAGGCCGAGGCATCACCTCTCCAGAAACTACCCCTGCGAGGGACGATCAGCCTGGAGGGTGTTCCAGAGGCAGCAGGCTCTCCTGGGGAGGGAAGGCACTGGCCCTGCAGAACCCCCTCAGGAGGTAGGTGAACGCTCCTGCATGGCCTGCTCCTCCAGGCTACACCCAAGTCACCAAACAATGTCCCTCCCTTCCAAAGAGC